ATATAAAAAGCAACACAATGAAAGTTTTAGAAGACAATGTAGGAGATACTGTGTTGGGATTTCAGGGTAAGGAAGAATTTCTTAGACATGATGGAGAAAGCCCAAATTGTAAAGAAAAAGATTGATAAATTCAACAACAAAAACTGAGGACTTCAGTTATCAGAAATGCCACAAAAGGAGTGAAAAGACAAGCTTCAAATTGAAGAAGATAGTTTTAATAGCAACAGAAAAGGGATTCATTTCTAAGAATTTCTGTGAATCTCAAAGGAACAAAAGCAAATGATATAAGCAAACATTTTATAATAGAGAAAATACATGAAAAGATTCTCAAGTTTACTAATAATCAGGGATATTAGATTTTTAAATCACAATAAACAACCATTTCAGATGCACAACAATGATTAGTCAGATGCTTCCAAAGAATTGATGATGATATGGATGAAGAGGAAATGCTGGTGGGAGTGTAAATGGGAAAAAGCTAGAAAATAGACATTACCATGATTACAAATACAGGAAAGCTCAGAACACCATTTCTTTAACTAGCAAAACCTTACAAGTAGTTCAAATGTCCTTCAATAGTGCAATAAATAGATGGCTACTTATTCAGATCTGGGGATACAGCATGCAGTGAGAATGGATGACTGTAGCTGCATACCTGGCCCTGGATGAATCTCAGTCACACAGCACTGATGCCATTTGGCAAGCATGGAGAAATAAATACGGAAAGACTCCATCAATATAAAGTTAAAAATATACATCAAACTGTACATTATAGGGGGTATCACTATAAAGAAAAACATGTGATTAAGAACAGTGTGGGAAGGATGCGCTCTTAGGGAAGGAAAACAGCCTTCTCCAGCATTGGCAATATCTAGCCTTAGGGATGGATAGGTGGGAGTGTATTTTATTACTCTTTTAGCAGTTTAGATATATTTTATCTACACATGATATACTTCGCAATTAAACTGTTTCAAATAATGAATTAGCTAACCCTTAAGGGACTCTCTAGTGCTGATCTTGAAATTTTATAAAGTCTAATCTCTTTTACAAAGTTGAAAATCAACAGAATTTTTGACAGAATCCCAGACTCTCAGATCTGCTGTCATTTCACAAGCAAGCTCCAGAGAGATGAGGTGATTTTTCAGTCTCATAGCACTTGAGTGGTAGAACAGGACCATGGAGACATTTCCAGCCACCCATGAACCAGTGTATTTTCCACTGACACGTGCTAAGGCTGTATGCCAGGTCTCCTGCTAGGCACTGTGTTTACCATGGGCATCACTCTAGATTTTCTCAAAGCAATTCTACTTGTATTCACCCTGTCTTGATGTCCAACCATATGACCTGCATTTGTTTTTTATTGTTTTGTGAATGAATAGACTTTATTTTTTGTTTCATAGAATAATGATTGCCCTGGGTGTATGAATCCCCATCCTTTTCATACTGAAAATGATGTCTTGGCCTTTCCTGTTATTTGCACGACTGGCTCCATTCAGCCTAAACCGCATCCATCATGCTGGTCCTACTTGCTCCATACCTCCCAGCCTTGTGTTCCCCACTGTATTTCCAGGAATCCCTGAGATTCTTATCAACCTTTACATCCTTTCTACCAAAAACTTCCTCCTTCAGTTCCTTGGGGGAAATGGAGGAACTGATTGTTCCAAGTTTTCTTGTGACCTCCTGGTTTTCTCTTCTGAGAGAGCTGATTCTTCAGGGTGGAGGTGGCAGGGAAAACAAAGGGGAGAAAAGAAGGGAAAAAACAAGAGCTGTGTCCAGTGAGGTCGTGGGCCATGACCCAACTATTTCCATGAAACAATTGATCCACCACCTGCACACCCAGAACACCCTGTACTTGAGCTTCATCTTCATTGTTTGCTATGATGAATTCTCACAGTGCCCTTGGGAGATAAACCCTTCTCCACCTCTCGTGCGGCATCTGCACCATCCTTCCTGCCCCTCCAGTGGAGGTTTCAGAGACTCCAAACAAGACTGCACATTGAATTTAAAATGTTTAGTGGTGGTCTCTGAAGGTAGCTCTTCTTCCTGTGGTCTCACAAAGAAGTTGTCAGTTCTACAAGGAAGGCTCAGCTGTTTCATTTTGCAGTGGATTCAGGCCCCAGGGGAGAGAGGACCAAGTGCACTATTATCCAGAAATGTACAGGCAGTGATGAGCCCAGGGCCAGTGGCCTTATTTCCAGACCACTCTGTCTCCCCCTCTTCTGCTGTCCTGTTGGAGCTGCTCCTCCCCACACAGTCTGCCCCTCTAAGTCTGCTTCAAGCCTACAGAGGTGAGCAAACACTTGCGAAACATGCCTGGCATGCACTCGGACAGCTCTCCTATTTTTAACCTGGCCTCTTTTGCAGATTAACTTTCCCTGTTAATGACGAAATTGTATTTACCAGGGTGATGTCACCCAATTCCAAGCTGGCTCCTGGGACCCATAGGTCAGATGCTTTCATTGGGCTGACCGCAGTTGGTTACCTTTGAGAATGCTAACTTGTACTAACCAGATCCTTAGAAGACCCATGTAAAAGACATGAGTACCTGTTTATTAATGTACGTAAGAGATATGACTCTCAGTTGGGTAAGTCTGTGTTGGCCTGGCCAGCTCTTTCCCTGCAAAGGGCATCTATGTGGAGTCAAGCTATCAGTCTGTCAGCAGGTGCCAGCTAGAACAAAGGAGCTGGTCATAGGACATAAAGGCAGATTCCCATTCTCTTCCCTGAATTGATGGCAAAGTCCCTTTCTGACTGACCCATTCTTACTTCAGTGGGATCCATACTCTGTGGGTTACTATATTTTTCTGAGGCTGGGAGCCACTCCTTTCCAGGAGATAAACTTCGCCACATTCCACTCTGTCTATTATGCTTTGATTTCATAAATTAACTCTTTTCAGGAAAATCTGATCTCCTCTGTGTCCAAGGCTTTTATTGAGACTTCCCCCTACATAACTCAGTTCCTCAGACACCCATAAATCCAACTGTTCTTCTACTACATGACCTGTATTTGTTTCTTCGTCTTATCTAGGACATTTGAAGAGACCTTCTGAAATGCTTGTAAAGTCATGTGGCACCTCTATTAAAAGCTATCTGTGTAATTGATCATCTTTGCAGCCTGATTATCAGAAATTTCTGATTTCTTTCTCTGTACTTTTGTATGTTTGAAACTTTCAAAATATTTTTTTTAACTTTTTTTAAAACTAGGGAGAGAGCTGGCCAGATAGCTCAGCAGATTAAAGAAACTGCTTAGGCAGAACCAGGGACCGGGTTTGATCCCCAGCATGCCATCCTGTCCCACCCCTGGAGCACGCTGAGAAAGTGACTGAGACTGGGTGTGGTGGCACCTACCTGTAATCCCAGCACTTGAGAGGCTGAAAACAAAAGGATCACTATGAGTCCAATCTACGTAGTGAGACCCTGTAGATCCTGTACTAAATGAAAAAATAAATAAATAAAACCTACGGAGAAAACTATCCATGGCTTCTCAATATCCCACAAAACCCAAATCTCTTTTGTTTATTAGTACAGGTTTGAGGTACACAGTGAATACATTTGTTGTGGGTAGTTGCTGCACACACATGACACATAGTAATTCTTTCTATATCCCCTTCCCCACCCCTACCCATCCCTCCATCTCCTGGTCCCTTTCCAATTTGCAAAAGAACTATCTCCCGGTTTCCTGTTATCCTTTATTTTGCTCTTTCATCATTTATTCTTTAGCTTTCTCACATAAGAGGAATGACACAATACTGAAACGTGTGTGTCTGATTTATTTTACTTAAAACTGTGGTCTCGTGGTGCATTCATTTTCCCACAAATGAATCGAGGTGGGAAATGCTTATGTACAGCAGAGTAGGGCTCTACTGTGCATGAATGCTGCACTTTCTTCATCCTTTCATCTACTGAGGGACATACAGGCAGCTTCCAAGACTGAGCTACTATGAATTGTGCCCCTTATAAAAAAAAGTGTGTATCACTGTAATATGATGTCTTTAATTCATTCAAAGCCTGAATTTCTTAAAATGGTTGAGGCCTTTTTAGTCTGAAAGCCCCTTTCTTGCATGCTTCCCTGTGTACTCTTCAAGAACCACCCTACCAACCTCAGTCCCTCTCTGCACCACAATCACTCACAACTGCTCAGTTCTGTATCTTGGCTCATTCTGTTCCTGCAATGTTTGGCTCGGAATTTACCTCCTCCAAGACACCTCTCGTCCTTCTTCCTCACTGGCCAGGCCTCCTTCCTCCCCACTGACAGCACTTGCTGCCTGCCCATACCTGCTTTTCTACTGACATTACATACAATGTTTTTCTATATTGTCTTCACTCTGCACATATTTTTAAGTCTTTGCAGTTAAAGGATCGTGTGATTAAGGGCCTGCAGTATAGCTCAGCAGACTAAGCGCTTGCTTAGGTAAGCACAGGGGCCAGGGTTCAATCCAGTCATGCTGGCAACACATCAGCCCTCTCTGGCTGTGGTGGGGACAGATTAGAAATTACAAATCCTCCAGCCTAAATTGTCTCCAGTTGGCATTGAAAACACATGGTCTGCACATGACTCTTCCCCCAGCATAGAGTTGGGCACATAGGATGTACCCAGGAGATTTCTCACCGGGTGATTCTTTCATCCAATTCATGCTGCCTCCAGCTACATAGCATTGTGTGAGTCACAGGGCCTTAAGCTGCAGTGTTTTGTACATTCGTGGCTCTTGCACACTATGCATTGAATGAGCTAAGCGGTGTGTTACAGGGCAGGTGCGAGGCCCTGGCTCCAGGGAGAAAGAATGCAGCCCAGGCATCTACCTCCGAAGCAGGCCTCGGGTGATTCTGACCAGCGTGTATGCAGGCCACACCGTGAGACAGAGTCCCAAAGACTGTGAGGTCTGATGTGCCACTATTCTCTGGCTACTCTTGACAAAGCCAGATACCCGTCACTTCCCCGCTGAGGTTGCAGACCTTTCCTGGACTCACCCTGCCCTGGTTTTTTTCCTTGTTCCCCAAAGTGTGTGGCTGTGGCCTGGCCCAGTCAGGCTTCTTCTTCAAGAACCAGGAATACATCTGCACCCAGGACTACCAGCAGCTCTATGGCACCCGCTGTGACAGTTGCCGGGACTTCATCACAGGCGAGGTCATCTCCGCCCTGGGCCGCACCTACCACCCCAAGTGCTTTGTGTGCAGCCTGTGCAGGTGAGCGGGTGGCTGGGAAATAGAGGGCCTCTGTGTGAGCCCCAGAGGAGGGGAGGAGGCAGCCTTTCCCAGGCAGTTCTGGGGTTTATCAGGCTTATTCTGGGTGTGTGGACTTCAAGAACCTAAGGGGTGAAAGGATCTGAGCAGTGGTGTTCAAACCTTTTAGCATATGAATCCTGTCTGGCACACACACAATCTGATATGGAATAATTGTTCATCCTGTGACGGAAGCAGAGTGAGGACCCAATGTCCGTGCTCAGCCGACCACTTCTCCAGAAGGCTCCCAGGAGACCCCATGAGTCACCTGGCCCCTCTGCTCCCTCAGAGCTCAGTTTGGAAACTACCAGCCTGGCTCAGGCTCCCACATCTGTAGCACAGCCTGTGTGCTTCCAGTCTTTCTCACCATTCCAGCAGCACCTCCTGTGGCAGGGTAGCCCTGACAAGGGACTCCCTCTCTTTAAGCCTTCATTTCTCCATCAGTAATAGGGATCAAAACCATTGCAATCTCACTGGGTTTTTATGAAGAGCAGTGAGGGGGTGTGTGTAAAGACTTCAGTCCAGTGATTGGTACATATCATGCACTTTCTTATTTTGCTCATTATCCTGATAACTGTTCAGCCTCCCTCAGGACATCTCTGTGATTGAGAGTTCTTCCCTGTCTCCTTTTCCACAGCAGCAGCCTCTCAATCCCTTACTCACTTAGCAAATGTGTATTAAGGTTCCACTGCATGCCAAGAACCACATTAAGGAAATGAAAAAAAAAAAAAAAAAACTGACTAGAACCTCAGCTCTGTTCATAAATATGTTCAATTTTAATGGGCAGCTCTGATTAAGTTATAAGTAAACTATGATTAGAGTATATACACATTTCTAATTAGGGAAAAAATTTATAATTAATCTCCCCATAAAATAACTAGTTAGTTACTGCTTAAAGTAACTAACAAATTAGAATTTCTGACCAAGACTAATGGCAGAGTATTTACTCAGTAAAAACTGCTGGGCCCTGAGTCCTAGATGCCAGATTCATCGGAGGTCAGCACGGAGGATCTGTATGGTACGAGGTGAGGTTTTGGCCATGCTCTACAGAAATGAGGTGACTCTCTGAGGTCATGCAATGCGTCTGAGCCTTGAACTACTTGGCTGGGCCATAGTGAGAATGTGGGTCCTCCGCCTCCTGCCCCAGCATTCCATCCACCCTCCCGCATTGCTAATGTAAGGACAGAGGCACCCCTAGAAGCCTTTGTCAGGGGTTATGCTCAGAGTCCATGTGACAGGTGTCCCCAGAGCAGCCAGAGGTGGGTTGGCAGTGCTGGCAGTTCCTTACATGACTTATAATTTAGTTGAGGAGGCAGACCATGTGCAAGCTTGAGACTCTCAGGCCGGGGAAACAACAAATGCATAGGGGTTGTGACATATTTGTGGACTTACAAAATTGCCATTGGAGAGAAGTCACATTAGTGTGGCAAAACTACTTCCAGGAAGAGGGAGCAACCCCGGGAGCAGTTCATAGTCTCGCCCTCTTAGAGCTGGAACACACAAGCTCAGATAAGCAGCATATTTTTCTCAGTGTTAAATCCGATAAATGGCACAAAAGGGCCTCCAGTTCTGGCCTCCTGGCCCCTTGCTGAGTGGTTTAGCCAGCTTGTCACAAGGAGCAGCATTTAAATTTGCCTGGTGTTCAAGGAGGGACACGGAATGTGTCACCAGACTGCTGTGAGCATGTGTGTCAAGTCACACATAGCCTCAGAATCCCATAAATCGGCCTGACTTTCTGCCTCGACCCCTTGCAGGAAGCCTTTCCCCATTGGAGACAAGGTGACCTTCAGCGGTAAAGAATGTGTGTGCCAGACCTGCTCCCAGTCCATGACCAGCAGCAAGCCCATCAAGATCCGTGGACCAAGCCGTGAGTCTCCCCACCTCCAAGTGCACCTCCAAGCTCATGGCGCCATCTCCACAGGTCCCCTGTCCTGGCAATCAGCTACATCCTCAGGCCTAAAGGGAAATGGGAGGTTCCCTCCCTGGAGGATTCCTGACGTGTGACCCAGTTGGCAGAAAGCCCAGACACACGAGCTCCACAAGCACAATACAGGGAAGCAGGCTGCCCTGCGGTAAACAGGGATGGCTGTCCCTGCTTATCGGCCACTTGGGTGGGTCTCCCCTGAGACTAGCTGGGCTCCTGATCTTATATCCCAAGGGCACTGCCACAGGCTTGATCGAGTATTATGTCACCAGGGGTTCTCAGGTTTGACAAACTCCAGGAAGGAAGAATCTGCAGACATGACTCACAAAGGAGGAAGTTGGGAGGGTCCTTGGGGCAAACCGAAGGGATGTGCTCTGCTTTGTAGAAGTGTTCTGTGGACCACCAAGTTGGGGTCACTCTGTACCTTGTTAGAATACAACTTCTGGGCTCCCCTAGGACCGCTAGGGATGACACAGAGGCAGTGACATGCTGGATGATTCAAGAATTTCTAGGATTCATTTGCTGCTCTGAGATTGGGAGCCCCATCTAGGGATGAAGGGCAGATCTCCCATGCCCTAAGCAATGTTATGTTTTATCACCACACCTCAGATTTGAGGAAAAAGTGAGGCTTGAGGGTGTGCCTTGGCCAGGCCTCCCAAATTGTTAAGTTCATTCCCCTGCGTGTATCCAGTGATCAGATGTCTAAATCACTGTTCCCAGATGCCCCAGTGGGGCAGCTGACTGCACACACATAGACCAGGCTCCCAGGGTCTCTGTAAGCAGCGTTGGGCTCCAGAGTTCTTTTATGTTATATGACACCCTGGCGGTCTCATCAAGAGATCAATGAAAACCCATTAACCTCCTGGGCCGCACCACAGTGCAAGCCTGCAGGGTGGGGTGGAGGTGCCTGCCCACAGCGGCTCCAGCTCTGGCGGAGTCAGCACATTGGGGGCCACATCTCCCCAAGGAGGGTGAGCCAAGAACATCCAGTCAGCAGGGCTTAGTTCCCAGGGGCCCTATTAGAGTCCACCCAGGTGTGGCCATGAGTGGAGAAACACAGGAAGGCTCCTCCCCTCCCTCCCCTCCTTTCAATCCAGTCGGATCCGGTCCCGGAGTGTGCAGCAGCCTTCTTTCACCGTCCTTGTCACAAACAGTTGGCTGCTCTGTGCAGGTTCCCATCTCAAGGCTGCTGAGCACACTCACTGGGATCTTTATAGCTCCTTAAAAGCTTCATCCAGAGGGACAAAAAGCCTGGGAACCCCAGCCGTGGCCCTGTGGCTGATGCTGCTGTGGCGCTTACAGGCCAGCGGGGCCACATGAAGGCAATACGAAGGGAGGCAAGAGTGAGTCAGGAGGCTTCCAACCTCCTGCGTGATGCAAAGCAGTCGTGTAGCCTCTGAGGCTTAGTTTACCCAGCCATGAAAGCAGGATGGGCTTCACGGCATGCATAAATGTAGTGAACAGTAGCTCTGTAAGTAAGAGGTGAGGACTGTTACTGGCATCTAGAAAGCAAAGGAGTGGTGAGAATCCAACTCTGAATTTGTGGTTGCTTCTCTCACCTTGTGCTGTGCAGTGGCTCTCTCTGACAGGTGGGAGTTGTCGTGGCTGAGCATGGGTGGTTGTCTCACACACAAGCATGTGCTGGAAAGAAGCCCTGCCATCATCTTACACATCAAGGGGTAGAAAGGGGTGAGGAGAAGACAGTAAAAAGAAAAAGGAAACAAAGAGGAGAAGTAAACAGTTGGGCAGTTTCAGGGGCAGGACTCAGGATTATGGCTCATCGCATCTCTCACAATGTAAAGACATCCATCTGTGGATCCACAGGGCATCCTTTCATAGAATCATTTGCTCCAAGCATGGTCACTGTTCTTCTTGAAATACAAGGGACCTCCTGGCTAGGGAGGATATTAGAAGGTTTCCTGAATTCTCAATGAAAAGAGAGAAGTAAAAGAGATTGCTAAGAAAAACATATTGTGCAAAAGGAAAAAATAATCTGGCATTTAAGCTGAAAGTGTGTGAAGTTTCATCTCTGGAAGTTTAATAAAAATATTTTGGAAAAGTAGACCAGTGCTCATTCCAAAGTTTGAGAAGACTCAGAAACTGTCAAGAGGAATGGACTGTGCTACTGCAGGAGGGAGAAATATGTCTTCATATATATCATGAAGGAGAGCCAACGACAATGGCAGAATCCCCATCACCACCCCCATCATGCCACCCTCACTGATGCTAGCTGGGATTGACTATTATTATGGGGCCCGCACAGGCCTCACTGACATGAGTCAGCAGCCATAGCAGCACCACCATTACTGTCTGTCCCATTATCCTCAACATCACCATCACCACTACTTCCATCACCACCATCACTAACACCATCACATCACAGTTGTTAGTGTCACCGTCACCACCATACCTGCCATTATAAGCATCACCTCCATTACCACCACCACCACCATCACATCGTCACCTTCACCGCAGCTGTGACTACCAACTCCTTCATAACCCCAGCACCACCCTTCCCTATGTCACTGGCAACACTGATTGTCACTATTGTCAACCACTTCATCATTTAAGTACTCAAGCATTTAATCATTACAGCAACTCGACAAGGGTGATAAGAGTAAGTGTTCTGTACATGAAAAAACTGAAACTCAACAAACACAAATGACTTTCCCAAAGTAACACAGATAGCAAGACACAAGATCAGGCTGTCTGGCTCGGGAGACGATTCCCATATTGTTCTACACCAGACACATGTCTTGCTAATTGGGAAGGATCCTGTCTTCCAGAATTAGCTGCCCAGACAAAGGTGGGTAGCTTGCTGTGACTCACAAAACCCAGTTATTTTTGCTGAGCTAAGTGGAATGAATGGCCTAGTCAGTGAGACCAAGAACGGCTGCCTGGAGTCTTCACGGGCTTTAGGAACCAACAGAGAGATTTGAGAGGGGCAGGTGGTGGCATCATGCTTCCTACCAGCTGGAGACTGTAAGTTTGGAATAGAGAGGAATGTGTGAGGAGTGGACAGCTGGCTCCCCAGAGACCGATCTGGATAAGCTGTGGTTCTACAGACCCTGCATATGACGCCAGGCCTGTGGGATCCCAGATGGGGTGCCTGAGGCTCCATCCATGGTCAGGAGTACAAGGCTGAAGCAGAGGGAGAGAGAGTTCCAGAAAAGCATGAAACCAATGCAACAGAGCATCAGTAAAGTGACATGAAAAGAAAAGCACATGGAGAAGGTAGCCGAGAATTCTCCAGAAGAATAAGTGGGTCTTCCTGCAGTGGAAACATTGCATACAGCTTTACATCGGTTCCCGGGAGATCCACAGAACGTGGATTAAAACACAAGTCTGTGAAACACTGACAGAAACCACTGACCAGATGTGAGCATCACTTATACCAGCCAGACTATAGGAAGACATTCAGATGAAGGTTCCTAGGCTTGGTTGTTACACAACTAGTACACTGGGGAGCTGGGATTCTTGCCTGTTCCAGATTCTATCGTTTGCTTCAGCCTCTCAGCCCACTTGTCAACCACTGCGCTGGATCAGCTCCTAAAGGTGCTCACTCCATCTCAGATGTATCACTTTAACTGAGAAAGATGGCACTCATTACTGGAATGGGGCTGTGTAAGCATGTGATTATTAAATCCATTTTATTGAAAAGGTGGAGAACTGTGTCATCAATTCACACTGTGCCTTCCTCACAAGTGAATCTGATTAATGCATGACCACATCAAGGGAAGTGTAAAGAAGGAAAGCTACGAAGGAAACTAGTCATCTTTAAATATTGGAAGGAACTGTTAGAGGAGAGAGCAAATTATTCTTAGCTGCATAAGAACTTGGGGAGTCACGAGAATCAGGCCTGGGCTCCATGTAAAGAAGACCACCACGAGAGTCACGCCTGACCTGAGGCACAGTGGGCTTTCTGAAAATGGGCTGAGTTGACTCCTGGATGAGATCAAGCAGGGGACGGTGTCCACCTGTCCAGAACACAGAAGATTCTTGCACTGACTGGGACATTTGACCAGATGCTCTCTGAACTAGAGCCCCAGTGGAAATATTAAACCATGTAGGGAGGCCCTAGAGACAAGTTTATTATGCCTCACCTGGAAAGCCTGACCAAATGCCTGCAGAATCTACACCAAAGTCCGACAAGTCACTTCAGATGACGATCTGTCTGTAAAAGGGAGAAGGGGCTGACCTTTCTAAACTATTGTACTGTGAAACCTATAATTACTGGGGTGGCAGAGCAGGAAGACTTAAAACTCGTTCCAGGAAAGAAGAAAGGGAAAGAGAAAAATTTCCAAACTCTGCATCCTTCCCAGCTCCATCTGAAAGCCTAGAACTACAAAAATTTTGCAGTTGGAGACCTCCCTGCCTCCAGAGATATAGAAAGGTATAGATAGACCAGAAGCAGGCACAGGAGGACCAGATCCACACAAACACTTCATCAGGGCCTAGCCCCGCCCCGCAGCCTGTTGGACACATACCCTTCTTAGACACATCGTCTGCTCTCACAGGACTGGCCTCCAGCTGGATTGGAAGCTGTCCGGTCAGGCTCCCCAAGTTTATGCATAGTTTCTTTTCCTCTCACTGCTCAAAGTCTGCCTTTGTCTTGCGCCAACAGAGAGGTTTGTCCTATGGTAAACTTTGCCCCGTGACCCTTTCCTCTGCCAAAGTGGGCCATCCGGTCAATGAGGCCTGAGTTCCCAGCATCTCTCAAGTACCTTGGACACTGGCTCCATTTCCTGTCCCTCCCATTCCCTCCCTGCATTCATTGAGCAACAAACAGGCAGGCTTCTGGGCCACACACATACGCACACTTGTGGGCCCAGCACCGTTCCAGGGTAGTGGTGACAGGGAGTGAGAGCACATTTCTGCTTTGAGACAGTCTCACCACACTCTAACCCATAGTTCCCGGGAAGCAAATGTGTGGCATATAAGCATACAGGGGAAGGAGTAGCCATGATAAATTTTATTTATTGCTTGAGTGCTATAAGATCCACTCATTCATACTCCAGCAAAGGTGCTTTGAGTTCCACTACACACCTAGCACCATGCTAAGCAAAGAAATACATTTAGCCACAATGCATAGACCTGGTGCTTCTCATTAGGTATATAGCCTAAGAAGGAAAAAGGAAAAACAAAGCCTACTCTAAGAATCCATGCTTCTCAAATTTTGCCATGCACAGAGATCTAATTAAAATCCAGTAGGCCCGGGTGTGGTGGAGATGTTGCGTGCCCTGCAGTCCCAGTGATGAGGATCTGGGGTCAAGAAGAGAAGTATGAGCTTTGTTGAAGAAGGACTGGAGGAGTGCCGGGGCCAATTTGGATGGATGGTACCTGGGAAGAGAAGTAGAAAGGCTTTTCCATCCACACAGGGACCCATGGGCTCAAAGTCCCTTGTCAGTAGGCCAGGGCTCTGGTGGCCTCTTCCTTGCCCTGGTAGAGCCTGGGCAGCTGCTGGTGTCAGCACAAGACACCTGAAAGCCAAGTGACGTTCAGGGAGGAGTTCCTTCTGATGGTGGGCAGTCAGGGGTCCCGGGAAGTTTTGCTCAGCAGCGGCTCCTATCTTTGCAGACTGTGCTGGGTGCAAGGAGGAGATCAAGCATGGCCAGTCGCTCCTGGCCCTGGACAAGCAGTGGCACGTCAGCTGCTTCAAGTGCCAGACCTGCAGCGTCATCCTCACCGGGGAGTACATCAGCAAGTGGGTGTGATCCCCTGCCTGCCCCACACTCGGCCTGTGCATCCTACAAGGCTTGCCTCCTCAGCCCTTGCCCAAATCCCTAGCATCACCCTGGTTCCTTCCATTGGCTACCACACTTGGGCCACAGCAGCCTCTTTCCACTTGTGGCACCTTCCGTGCTGTTCCTTCTGCTGAGGACACTCAGCACCCCTCTCCACTATTTGCTTCTTCCCTTCCTTCCTTCCCTGCCTTCCTCCCTCCCTCCCTCCCTCCTTCCCTCCTTCCTTCCCTGCCTTCCTCCCTCCCTCCCTCCCTCCCTCCCTTCCTTCCTTCCTTCCTTCCACCTCCACTCAGAGGCAGCCTTTCCAGTAGTTTACCACCTCCACTCCCATCACAGCTCTCAGGCTGCCCTGTTTGTTTCCTTCACACGGGCTACCACCATTTGTAATTATATACCTATCTGAGGCAACTTTTTAATAGCGACGATAATGCTAACTACTGCTTCCTGAGCCTTTGATGTTTTGGTTTACTGAGACTTGAGGTGTCTGTTTGCACAGAATACTAAGTGACTTGTTCTGGGATGGTGTTTACTCTCTGTTCCCATCAGGATAGCAGTTGTGCTTTAGTTGCTGCTGGATTCCCCCATCCTTAGCATAATGCCTGACTATGTCAATCATAGTTGTTCAATAAATTTAACTGGAGAAGAGATTTTGGACACATGAAATGATCAGGATAGAGGAGTCACCCCTGCCCAGAGATCCTCACTCTGCAGCTTTGGAAAGTCCCTTTGTTGCTAGGCCCTAGCGACCACACATATAGACTCAGCTACCTAGAAGCTATTATGAGCACAGACCCTCAGTGCTCTGACCCATTCTAACTATAGATGCTTCCTAGCCCTCTCTCACACAACACAGAAATGGAAAGGTCAGAAGTACACTGGCGTCAGACGTGGCTATATCCAGGGAGCTTAACAAGCTCTCTCATTCTAGCCTAATAGAAAGGAACCCTTTTCTCCCAAGAGTGTCAGCTGGAATTCCAGAGCTGCCTTTATGTGGCTACCCTTGGTTCACGTGTCCACTGCAAATTAATCATTGACTGGGAAGACCCAACCCTAGAGCCAGAGAGCAGCTTTTGGTAAAAGCTTACAGAAACAGAGTGGGAAGTCGATGCTGGCCAGAGGATTCTGACCAGTGAATAACATTTGCTTGTGCCCAAGGTGCTAGTGAAGGGTGGTGAATATTCAGAAAGGGGGAATCATACCTAGCCAGCAGGAAGCAAAGTCTGTCTGTAAGCACCTGATGGAAGGAGGCAGTATTTGAGCTAGACTTTGAAAAAAAAAAAAAAAAAAAGAGGTAAGATTTGAAAACACAGTGAAGAGCACCTAGGCAGAATGCCTAACCTAGCAAGAACAAGGACATGGGCAAGTGTTTTGACACCTCCACCTTGTTTGGCAGCCCAACTGTGTGCCCAGGGGAAGCAGAGTCCCAAGCTTGCAAAAGTGAGCTGTGGCCATGTCACCAAACGTCCTAAAGACCACATCAATAGGGTGCTGGCATTCTCCTCCAGGCCTGCCAAGTAAAGAGTGTCCTTTGTAAGTGGCCAGCAAGGAGTCCTTGAGTCTGGGAGTCTACATCAGAGTGCTCCAAAGAAGGCAGGGCCTGCTCAGAGTTCCTCTCAAGGAGGCCCAGCCCAGCCTGCCCACCATACCTGGCCTCTACAGTCTGGCTTTCAGCTCTTCGTCTGGCTGTGGAAGAGTGGCATGGGCTACAAGGCACTGGCTGTGGCACCAGATGCCCAGGATTGAAGCCCCACCTACATGACCTTGGCCAAGGACTCAGTGTTTCTCAATTTTAGTTTCCTCATTGTGAAAAAAATAGAGTTAATAAGTGGGAGTGCATAAAGGCTCAGAGATCGGTGCTTGCACTTAATACCTAATAAACACCCAATAAATACTCACTTTACCACCTGCTTCTTTTAAGAATCGTTCATATTTCAAATTCCCTTGGGCCTCCCCAGCCCAGGGATATAAATGAGGCTGTGCTGGCTGGCCTGTTGTACCACCTCCTAACAAATGATTTCCCTTGTAGAGTTACTCTCTCACACGTGGAAAGTGAGGACAAGTTCTGGCTTTGTGGGCCCACTCTCACCTCCAGACCTTTGTCAGCCTCAGCTCTTACTGCTGCTTCTCCATTGAGGAAACACTGGCTGTCCTGTGTCCCAGTCAGTGTTCCCAGCAGCGTCAGGATGGCTTCAGTGTCTGAGCCAAATTCTCTCACCCAAAAGTGGGGAAACACACCTCTTTCGTCAAAGTTTGGAATGAGCCCATAGAGCTAGGTAAGTCCCACAAGCTGTGCTGAGTTCACTGAGGCCCCAAACTATATCAGCCTCAGACTGCTGAGCACCACAGTGATTGCTGCCATTGCTGAGAATGCACCGGGGCTAGGCACCGTCTAAGCCCCAGGAGACACTGGACCCATTTCCTTTAGTCCTCAGACCCCCTGGACAAGAAACCAGAAAACCTAGCTTTAGGTCATCCTAGGTGGCCAATGGTGAGTTTCCAACTCCTGTCTACCTGGGAGTTTTCATGCACCCCTTGGGAAATTAATAGTGCCATACTCTTTTGGCTGCCATAAGGATTAGATGCAGTAATCTGTGTGAAGCACCTTCAGAGGACCTGGCACATGCAAGCCAGGAGTGCCAGCAGCTATTAGCAGGAGGAAGTAGCACAGGAATAATGAGGGCAGCCATCGTTTTGTCTGCTAGGTCATAATCACTGGGTCAAAGTGGAACACCTAGAAAGTGTTCAGAGGGGGCATCTTCTTATCTGCTGACCTAGCAGCACAACCAGATGGTTCTCTCACTACAGGTGAAATCTTTTTATTAAAAGAGTCCTTAAATTGATCACACACATGACCTCTCCAAGGAAAACTGAGCAGGGCCAGGAGGAGGGTGAACTCTTTTCTCTTTCTGCCTTGAGAATGCTGTAGTATATGCAAATATTACCTGCTCTAAATTAAATAAAACTTAAACTTTCTAAATAATTCTTAAAAAGCATTCTCCAGGACAAAGGAAATAAGTGAATCAGGAGAACTTGTACAAAGCAGGAAGAAGTAAACGGAGACCCAAGGTCAACAGGCTAGACAGTTGCTTCCATCCAAGCTAGGAAGGGCATCAGGTGGAGATTCCTGGGCCTCACCCCAGGGGTTCTTTGATTTATAATCTGAGGGCCATCTGAGGAATTTACGTCTTAAATAAGCTCCCCTAACTCTTTAATCCCCACAGGTTGCAGGACCCCCTAACTTCCTCATCCCGTGTGGATTTGCTCTTTCAGGGATGGCGTTCCATATTGTGAATCTGACTACCACTCCCAGTTTGGCATTAAATGTGAGACGTGTGACAGATACATCAGTGGCAGAGTCTTGGAGGTGAGTGGCTGAGCACCCACACAGATGGAGAACGGGGCGACTTGTCCGGCACACGGTCACCGCTGAGGAAGGGGAAGTCATCTCACACTCCTCATCCGCAGCCTCAGCCTCCCACAGCTCTGCTTGGGATGTGACCTTGAAAGAAACCTTGCTGAGATCTCTGAGCACACCCAGAATGAGACCACGGACAAAATTATTTCTGGTTCAGGAACTGCTGTGCTGGAAAAATCAGTTGCTTCTTTGGATGCAGACCCAGACAGTTTCTCAGAGTGACAATTAGGGTTTTCCTCCTACCCCTGCCTAAGGATGGAGGGGGGGTTTTGTTTTTGTTTTTTAAGTATTCGTACTATGCTGCTTTAAGAACCAGCTTGTCTAGCAGCTTGCTCCCTAAACCCTTCCCTGGCTGGTCCATCACCATGGCAACAGCTCTCCAAGCCTCTTGCACAGCTCATTCTGCGGGTGACAGACAACTTGCAGCACTTCACTGAGCCTTTGCTGGGCCCTCTGTCTGCATCTCGGTTCCTGGCCTTCCTTGTCACATTCTGTGGGCCTGGAGGATTTCTTCTTCTCCTTTAGGACCACCTACCTTGAAGAATTAGAAAGAGAAAAGAATTTCTTACAAAGGGAAAGCACTAGTTTAAGAGTAGGACCAATTGGGGTCTAACACCATATTGACTCTACTGCCAATGGATTCTTAAATTTTGGATGATGACCTTTGTATCTCTAGGCCTTCTTTTCCCATCTGACAGGGCCTGAGAAATGGCAGTCAGGGAAGCTATTGTGAGCAGCATTATTCATTCAGCCAGATCTGACCAATCAGTTGTGATTACTGTAAGTGTTGAGTTAGAATGGTCCTGCAGCCCCCCACGTGGGCCCAGCAGGAGAGAATGCAGCAGTAGGGAAAGGACTGTCCCAGGGAATGCTCGGAGGGGAAGGCTACGTGTGAAGAGCCAGGCGAAGAACACTCCAGCCATTCAAGGAACAGAAAAAGCCCAGAATGGCTGGGTTTTGTAAGCTGAGGGTCAGGAAGGCTGGGGCACATCACAGAAAACCTATCACGTAGGACCTAGTAGATCATGTTGAGAAGTTTGGGCCTCCTACTAAATTCAGTGCAAAGCTGCTGGGGAGCTTTACGCTAGGAGGCAACATGATAGGATTATGTTTTTAAAAATCATACTCATCGCTATGTGGAGTGTTGATTATAGGGAGTCAGAGAGGATAATGAACAAATTCACTGACTTGCTACTATTAAGCATCTCCAAGGGATAGCAGAGGAGGCACCAAGAGGGCAAGGCTTCTGCACGGGAATGTTTATTAGGTCTAGATTTCCAGGGCCGGGATTTAGGGATGAGGATTTTATGTGTGATTCACTGCGGAGCTTTGGAAAAACTGAGCAGAAGTGACCTGATCTGAGCTACCTTCAGGGAAGGGAGTGTGATGGTGCTAACAGGCTAACTCTGAAAGGGGGAATGTGGAAGAGGATGCCAAGGGCAAAGCTTTGTCTCCAACGTCACAGAAGTAGAATTCCAATAGCTCTGCAACTGTGGGGCAACTGAAGGAGAGAAGGCTGAAAGTTGAACCAAAATATAAAGCCTACATGACAGAAAGCCTGGTGTCAGTACAGGGAATGACAGGGAAACAAGCTGGTCCGGTCTGGGCAGGAATACAGGGATTTCAATTTAGGATGGAGTGAGATTGAAATCCTGGGAAGGTTCTGAAAAGGCAGTCAAAAGTGCGGATCAGATCTCAGGCCTGAAGAGGCCAGGGTCAAAGCACTCAGATTTGAATCATGGTACCAGGGAATTCCAAACAGGGGAGGGAGGGATCTCAGAGGGTAGTAAGTAGCCTACAGTTGGAGTTATCCGGGGAACAAGGAGACTGAGGGGAATGTGAGAGGATGGAGTTTCAGAAAACATAGTGAGGTTGATCAGAGTGTTGGCCAAACTCTGTAGAGTAGTGAAGGGCCATGGGATTGAGTAGAAGCTGATAGAAATTGCAGGAGAATTGCTAGCTGTGCCTACCCAGCTGGGGAAGAGGCCTCCAGCATACCAGGGGTCCATGCAATGGGAGATCACAAAAGCCGGCCTTTTTTAAAGAAGGGAAGAAGTTTGGATACATAAGGCTGCATACAGAAAGCTGCCCCAGCATTTCCAAGCTGCTTTGAAATTCTCCTGTAATGGTTCTCTTTCTCCCAGCACTGCTGCTAAACATTGTAATAGTCCCCTTCTCCAGCAGTTGTGACTGGGTTTTGATTGATTCCATTTGTATGAAGTTCCATTAGCATCTTGGACTTATCGATCTTTTTCCTAAGAGCTGGAAGAGACTTAGCAATCAACTAGTTCAACATCCTCATTGTACAGATGAGAAGAGTGAGACTCAGGGCATGAGGTGCTTTCTCCCAGCTAGAAGAGCTTCATGTGCGCCTCTGCGAGCCTAGCCGCGGACAGTGCAGTAAGCAGCTCAGTGGCAGGGAGGCTGTGTGAAGCTCCTTTAGCCGGGATGGACTAGGGGGCTGTGACATTTACAAAGAGGCTTTTTCAGTTTTGCCAAGGTGCCATTGCTACCCTGAAAAAGGGTCTATAATTGAAATGATAACGAGACACAGAGTAGGAAGAGGCTACTAATTAAACCAATTATCCTTGTCATGGTACAGGAGAGTCAGTCCCACGATTTCCTAGCTTAGGAAAATAGTAGGCTCCTTCTCAAGTTTGAGCATAGTTTGCTAGATGGTGACAAGCACATTTGTTCATTGGTGGGGGCCACCAAGAGTGATAAAAAGGGATAGTAGAGGTTGTTTTTTTTTTTAATTTGCCCTTTCTATATTCTTATTAAGTTTTTAGCATAAATGAAGCATTTCCAGAATAAGCAAACCAGGTCCCTGGCTTGGAGGGCGTACTCTGTGAGTCCCCAAGTATTCATCAGTTTCCTTCAGATATTTCCTAGTCTCCGTCAAAAACTCTCTTCCCTGACATGCAAAATATTCATTCAGAACCAGTCCTACCTTCCAAACCAAGGTGCTACACCCCTTACCCAGGGGCCCTCTCCTCTCAGGGCCTTTGGGCTGGGGGCTTTGAGTCAGAACTAGCAGAATGCAAATGCGTGCAGGCTGGAGAGCAGGTTCTACAGCCTGACTGCAACACTGCTCGTGATTTCTAGTGAGATCTGAGACACAGCCTTCTCTGAGGTTGTTTCTTTCCCCAGGAAAGAATCTTCAGGGTACATCCATTTCCATTTTTAATTTAAATAATTGTGGGGAAGAATGATGGAAAATGTGAATCACTGGTCTCAGAACCAGTGCGCCCAGTAGGACAGTCTAGCCTGGGGGTATGGGGGATCTCAGCAGGTCCCGGATTTTCAAATACAATTATTTGTGTACTAAACACTAAAATCTGTCTTTTTGATGCCACTCTAACAGGTTTTGCCATGTCTGCGAACCTTGCATACTCAGTTACCTAGTACTTTAAGTTGGTTTGCTTTCACATAAGAAAATGTGTACAGCAAAAAAGGAAAATTTGTTTCATTTGCCACATTATAGGAAACCCAGAAATGAAGGTAGTTCTAGCTAGATTCAAGTACTCATGGAGGCTCCCAGCTCTGACCGTTTTGTTTTGTTTTGTTTTGTTTTGTTTTGTTTTGTTTTTCATTCTTACAAAATACATTTTGAATAGATATTAAAGATACACTGGCACCAAACTGGTATTCTCTCTTTGATAAAATTGGAAGAATCCATAGAAGACTTAAAAGGAGGTAATTTTTCCTTCACTGATCCAATGTTAATGATCCAGAGTTGCTGTACCACTTAAAATGATTTCAGATACCAGCGGTGGTAGAGGCTTCAAATTTGGGGAAACACCAGACTGTCCTGAGAACAAGACTATTTCCTCATGCAGAAAAAAGGAAGAAGCAGCAGTGGCCTCTGCAGGCCTTTTTCCCAGATATCCAGGGGATTCCTCTGAGCTGCCATCAGGGACTGATGGAGGGAGTCACCAAGCTGTCCTGAACTACAACAACATAGTTCTAACCCTGCCCCGGTAGGCTCCCAACCAACCACAGGACCATGGAGATGCCAACAACATTGATGTGTCCACACAAGCAGCCTGTGCCCCTGGACAGCAGCCCCGGCTCTGACACCCTGTTCTGTGTCTTGGTTTTCATAGGCAGGAGGCAAGCACTACCATCCCACCTGTGCCAGGTGTGTGCGCTGCCACCAGATGTTCACCGAAGGAGAGGAGATGTACCTCACAGGTAGGCAAATCTGTATGGCGTTCCAATCTGCTCTTGGCTGGAAAGGAGATTCAGTCTTCTTCTATTCCAGTGTCATCTTTGCAATTGGCTTGTCCTTAAAATTAAAATTAATTCGCCCCTCTCTGGGTGCATGGGGAAAGTTGCTGGTGTGTCTAATATGAAGTGACATGTAATCTGCCTTCCATCCCTGTGCGTCTCCACCCGCTGCTCAGCTGGCCTGCTTCCCTGGCTGTGCTCTGAGTAGGCCCCCTGGCTCCGGCTGGGGGTGGGAAACGGAGCTGCACAGGGCCAAGGGGAGGCCTGGTTAGAGTCCACAGCACTGTGCAACCCCTAACCTTCCACCTCCTCCTGTCCTGTCCCTTCTCCCACATCTCAAAACACTGCAGCAGGCTGCTCTCAGGGCTCCTAGGACTCTCACAATACAAAGAGCAATGGAAGGACCAGCAATCCCCCTGAAAGTAAACCAGGCTACTCCCTGCTGGGATCCAGACCTCTCACCCAGGGGTTGCCCAAGTCACCTGATTGCTCTTTAGATCCTGCTCAGTCCCTGAACAGGATCCTACCAATTCCTTGCCCAGCACATCCCAGAAGTCTCCCTGGCCCCTCAGTGCCCCTCTATTCAGGTGCCCTCGGCCCAGATAGATCAGACTATCTCACCAAGGTCCCAAACTTCCCTTCTACATTTGAACATATAGTTCTCAATCTACTCATCCATCCCTTCAACCACCATTTCTTGAACCCCTACTGTGTGCAGGCTCTGTACTGAGGGCATTGTGAGGACCCGACATACACAACCACACAGCCCAGTGGTGGAATAGTGCCCGCTGTGCTGAGCATTACAGAGGGCAGCAAGAGGAGGTGGGGAGCACATCTGGTGGTGGGAGGAGCACAGGAAGGCTCTCTGAGGAAGGCTCAGGGCTGAGATCCCGGATGCGCGGGTGTTAACTGGCATCTGTAGGCTGCTATAACAAACTGCCACAGACTAGGTGGCTTATAAATAGCAGAACTGAATTCATCACAGTTCTGGAGGCTGGGAAATCCAAGATCAAGATGCTAGGAGACTTGGTGTCAGGTGCAAGCCCACTTTCTCATAGACGATTCCTTCTTTCAGAGCCCCCACAAGGTAAAGAAGGCAGCAGCCTCTCAGGACCTGCTGCCTAAGGGCCAGTACCTCATTATGAGGACCCCACTCTCGTGACCTGGCCACTCCGGAAGGCCCCACCCCCTTATACCATCATCTGGGAGGATTTGGGGGAACACAGGCATTCAAATCATAGCAACTGAACAAAGAGCGATGGAGTGGTGTGTGCCCATCTGGGTTGACAGAGTCTGTAAGACTGTGAGGGAGGTGAAGAAATGGGAATCACACCAGGCCCACGCTGAGGGCAGATGAGTGTGAGAGACAGGCAGGTGGAATCCAAGCCGGCCTTGAGACAAGATGGTGTTCTGCCCCTGAAGTGAACTCTCAGTTCTTCCCACTGTCTTCTTGCACCCTCCTTTGGAAATCCTGTCATTGTAGACCCCCATTCAAAAACTATGTGCTTTATAAACACCCCCAATTACCCCAAGCCCACGCACAACTTAACATACTTCATCCTCCCTGAGTTCTCTTGGCTCATTCTCTGTACTTGGTCCCTCCAGGTTGTATAAGAGTTGCTGGTCTTTTTGCTAAGACCTCTGGCTCCTGGCATGGGCCCCTTGGCCCTAACATTGGCCCTATCTGCCTTCATCAAATAGCAGATCACTGCTATTTTATTCTCTGATTAACCCTGTGCGGGTACTTGAAGATCTTGGAGAGCAATGAGAGCCCTTCCTCCCAGTCTCCCCAAAAGGCAGCTCTGAGGCCTCGGGGGCCAGTTATACAGAGTGTGTCTTCTTGTCAGACTTGTCCAAGCCACAGATGCCCAGGGCCAGGAGTTGACCTCAAGCTCTAATGAGTCCCCTGGGCCTGGAGCAGTTTCCCAACCTCAAACTATTGACGCCTGGTGTTGGATAATTCTTTGGTGTGACAGTTGTCCTGCGCACCACAAGGTATTGGGCAGCTCCCCTGGTCTCTACCCACCAGATACCAATGATACTATGTCCGTTCCTATTTGGACAATCAAAAACATCTCAGACATTGCCAAGTGTTCCCAAATCCATCCTCACTGGAGACCCACAAGCATGGAATATTAGAGCAAGGAATATTAAAGCAATATTACAGCAAGTTCCGGAGCAGAGCTTCCTACATTAGATTAGATTAGATGAGGAGACCACTTCCAAGATTCTGTAGCACTGTTGCTAGTTACTTGTGTGTGCTCTCATACACATATTTAAGGCACAAGGATCCAGGCGGTCATTCTAAACTGCAGAGGGACTACGCACATTGCACAGCTGGGAAGAACAGGCCCAGAGAAAAGAACAGACCTGAGTAAGAACCAGAGGGTAAAGGGACAAAGCGACACTTGGGCTGGGAACTCCCCCTCCAGGACCCTCTTCACCTGACCTTCTGAGACTCAGCCCCTAGCTGCCACTCAGGTCCCTGTCCCTTCCCATGAGCACTCTCAGTGCCTGAGTCCCCCAGTGATTTCCTGCTGCACCAGCCTGTGTTATAGTCCCAGCAGACTGCACAACGTCCTTGTGAACCCCAGCCATCTTAGGGTCCTGGATTTCACGTTTGGGTAGGAAATGTGCTGTATAGTGCTCCTTCCCCTTCTCTGGAGAGCACCTCTCCTGGTGCTAGACCCGCACTGGTACCCACATTCCCACCTGTGCCTCACTTGAATGATCGGCATCTACACGGTCCTACCTGAATTTCCAGTTCTCATCCATCTCCTTGTGTGCTTTGGCTCAGACTGCCTTGCTGTGAATCCTAGTTCTGCTTCTTACTAAGTTTTTGACCATGAACAAGTCTCTTAACTCTCTGATTGCCTGATCTGTAAAACAGGCCTATAGGGACAGTTCCTGGCACACAGAAAGCTCCCTGTGTGTTCACTGTACACATACCCGTGGAGCGCCTGCTGTGTATCTAGGGCTCTTCTAACTACGGGAGCTGCAGCCAGGAGGAGGTCAGACAAAGGCTCTGCCCTCAGAAAGCTCACAGCCTCATGGATTGGGAGCTTCACTCATCTAGCTTCACCCAGATGCTGACTGAAGGAGTTACGGGATGAGTAACATCTCTGTGATCATGAGAGAGGGTACACCGTAAACCTACAGCAGACATGCCTCCAGGAAGAGGCAGATATTCTTGGTCATGAAGAAGGGCCTGTCACCCTCTCATTAATTATCCCCATCCCTGCCCTCCTGGATCCTGAGAGAGTAGGAGTAATTGCAGGGTGTTCAAGGACCTGCCTGAAGGGATACTGAGTGATCCGGGAATGAGGGGGCCCAAGCCGTGCGTGTCATGCTGACTTGGACTGTGGGTGTCTTGTGGGGGTGGCAGCACTGGAGATTTCTGCTACAGCTGAGACAGGCTCTGGCCACCCTCAGAAATGGTAAGAAAACCCCTGCCTGGGAGAAGCGGCTGAGAGCCAAGGCTCCTGGGTTAATGTTACGGTGGACAGAGACATTAAGAAGTGACTCTCTTCTCTGGATCGCCTCCTTCCTTGTCAAATGAGATTGACAACAGTTTCTCATTTATCACTCCAGTAGAGGCCTCTCTATCCATGTTTGGGGCACAGAGATGAGCACTGCAAGTGAGCTCACTGCTCTGGGGGAGTTTACTATTTGGAAGAGAAGATTGGCATCAACTTGATAGAAGTTCCAACCTTCTCTGGCAAACTGGGGAAAGCACTGTGAAAGGAGGGTTTGGGAACAATAAGACTATGTCACAAGACCCCTATCTAGTCTGCAAGGCCAGGGAGGCTTCTCTGAAGAAAGGATACTCCAAGCCATAGGCATGAAAATGAATATAAGATGGAGGTGAAGAGGAAGGAAGGTTGTGGAAGCAGAGAGAACAGCAGGTGCAAAGGCCCAGGGAGGTGGAGAGCATCGCATACAAGGTGCTCGTGACTGAATGTGAAGGTGCTGAGCATACCGTAAGGCATCGCATAGAAGCCAGGGGAGAAATTGTGTGTGTGTGTGTGTGTGTGTGTGTGTGTGTGTGTGTGTGTGTGTGTGTTAGCAAGCCTGCAAAGCTTAGAAACCCAGATTTGTCAGTTCCAAAGCTGGACAATCTGGTACTGGCAAATGGTCCTCAGGAGATTCTTCAGCCAGTTTGTTTGCATTTTAATTGTGGTGTGACGGCTTTTGGAAGGGCTGTAATTGGGAGAAGTCTGATTGTCTAACTGGAGGAGAATTTCCTAGGCCCCAGGAGACAAGAGCAAGTTTTCTTTTATTTAAGTTGTTGCACATTCAGTCTTTCAGCTGCTTTTGTAAAGAAGCCAGTTATCTAATCTGTTTGTTATCCAAACCCTTCATTTAGTCTTCACCAAGAAATTAGGTCACTGATTTTTGTGCAGCAAAATAATAGCTAAGATGCTGTAGGTTCAGGGCAAAATTTACACCTCAGTCACAAAGGTTACAGTGGCTGGGCCAGTGGGAAGTTTTCTAAACTCCAAATGTAGTTCATGAGATAGATTTTGCTTTTGCTCTAAATATGGCTGCACTAAGATAGATTATTTTTCTCCCCTTCTGTCTACATCAAGTATCATTCAGTGTCCCCCACTATCACACTCCAGGGGCCTGAGATGGGACCTAAAACAGAAGCCTGACTGCACATTTTAAAAATAGCTCTCTGTTATCATTTGTGTATTCAACTAAAGACCACCAGGCAAAAAATCAGTTATGAAATTCTGGGACAATCCCTGCTCTGTCAATAAAAGAATGTTTATTGACTAAACATACTAAAGTGCAGGTCCTGCTCATAATAAAGATGATAAAATAATAACAATCAAATAAACTGATATTGGTTGAGAACTTACTGTATGTCAAGTACTGTACTCAGAATTTTGCATGCTCTACCCCATTTATCCTCCCCATCATCCTGTGAACGAAAAAGAGAAAACACTAATGTCCTCATT